ATTCCAAAAAAAGAGACCTTGATAGATCATTTCCATATTAGGTGATTAAAAAAATAAATAAATAAAATAAGGATTTGGTAACAAAAAACAAGAAGGTGAAATGAAATTAAAAAAAAAGAGTAAGAAGTAACTTAAGATATTTCAGTTTGCCAAAAATAAGCATATTAGGATAGTATATGAGAAAAAAAACAGTTTTATTCGAATTGAGTTTCGAATTGGTTAACAAACTCAGTTCTCATTCCAATTTCATATCAAGTGAAAAGGTCAATATAAACTAAAGAGATAACGATTGTCCCATCTTTACACACATGTAGTCAGGTTAGAAAGGGGGTTGAATTGGCATAGAAACTGGGCTAAGTTGGGTATTATGTTAAAATGGGTTGTAATTATACAGGTTAAGACGCAACACATTATTAAATTATCTTGAGCTCAACCCATAAATTTTGGGCTCCTAATATCTTAGCTTCATTTGACACCTCCAAGCAAGGAGTGCCACGTACGAGCAGAGCAAAAAACAAGGGGAATTCTTCTCTTCTTTTGGGGAGAAATCATTTGATTGCGTATTGAATACATTGAGCACATTCCAACAAATTCAAATTTTAGAAGTTTCATAATATGGTGACTATATTTTAGCTTGCCGTCAATTACCCCAACCTTCTTCCTTTATCCAGATGTGGGACGAACACGGTGAAGCTCACATAGACCGAGTTAGGTAAAATATTTATATGTGGAGTAAAATATTACCCCTGTTCCATTTTGTGTGACATATTGAAAAATATCTGTGGTTAAATTGACTAATTTTCTAAGTGAATTTGAACATTGAATCTTCATTTTAAAAAAAATTAAAGTTTTACATCTTTAAAAACTATATAAAAAGTATTGTAAGTCACAATAGTTTACAATTCAAAATATTAAAGAAGTATTTAAAAAAACATGGTCAAAGAAAAACTTATTTTACACTTCAGATAGTTATAGGGTTACATAAAGTGGAGCAAAATACTCTTGTAAGTACTCTTTCATCCTTAACCAGAGGTCTTGAGTTTGAGTCCCCCTAGAACAGAGTTCCTTTTGTTAGGGAGCGGGTGGGAACCAAAAAAAAAAAGTGGAACAAAGGGAGTACTAAAGTATACTTATGGAAGTTAATTAATAATCTGAAGATAAGGGTTAAAAACATACCTAAACTATCCCATATTTTTTTAGTTTCATGCTTGAACTATTGAGAATGCGTTTTATACCTAAACTATCACTTATTAGTTTTAGAAACACACATCTTTCTTTTATTACACTCTCATCATAGTGTGTAATACACTCCTTTTTTTATTTAAAAAATTGTTATATTACACTCTACATGGACAAAACATTCCACCTTCACAAAAATTAAATAATTAGTATTAGTTAAAGTTAACTATTAAAGCATTGCTATCCCCCCCCCCCCCCCCCAAAAAAAAAAAAAATTATAAAATAAAATTTAAAATATTTTTCTTACCCAACTCCACCCCTTCCTCTCACCGTACTCCCCCATCCCAAATTTTTAGTTTTTTTTTTTTAAAAAAAAAAATTCCCTTCGAATAATAATTTAGATATTATTTTAATTTAATTTTTTTAAAAAAATTCTACCCTGCTCCACATAACTCCCATCTTCCATTTTTTTTTCTCGTTTTGTATTAGATATGTATTTTCTTTTCTAAAAAAGTACTTTTTTACTTGCCGCAAGACTTTTTATAAAATAAAACTTTTATTTTTGTTATATTTGGTATGCAAGTAGAAAAGAATGTTTTCCTAAAAATATATGTACACATCTAATAGAAAATGAGAAAAATGTAAAAAATAAATTAGGAGCGGAGGGTTAGATGGGGTGGGGTAGAATTTTATTTTACTTTTTTTTTAAAAATAATATCAAAATTATTTTTAGGGAGTGGGGGAGGGGGTGACGTCTAAATTATAAAAAATAATAGGACGTGGGGTTGTTGGGGGGGGGGAGGGATGAGATGGAGTGGGGTGAGAAATATTTTAAATTTAATTATTTTAAAAATAAAAATATTTTTTAAATTTAATTATTTTAAAAAATATTTTTTTAAAAATATAATTATTTAAAAAAAAATGGTAATACTTTAATCTTTAGTTTTTAGCTAATATTAATAGTTTATTTAATTTTTGTTAAGGTGGAATATTTTATCCATGTGGAATACCATGAGGCAAGGTTTTTTCAAATAAAAGAGAGTGTATTACACACACCACTGAGGTGTGTTTCTCAAACTAATAAGTGATAGTTTAGGTATGAAACTCAAAAAAAGGGAATAGTTTAGCTGCGTTTTTGACACTTATCTCTGATCTGAAAGATGTTTTTAGTTGTACAAGTGTGAAAAAACACTCCAGGATGTTCCCAAGTGACACAAATAGAGAGTGGGGTCGAAATGGGAAATATACCATCAGTTGTCAATGAAGTTGAAATAAAATCATGAGAGAGTTCCAATTCTAGTAGAAGCAAAAAGAAATTAGCCGATTTCTTCCAATTTGTCTAAGTTTCAGCTGACAAGATTACTACCTGGTACCTTTGGGAGGAAGATACATGCACCTATTGGAATAGTCAAGATACATGCAAGTTGGGTTGAAGGCACCTTATTAGTCTTAGAAGTGTCAAATCAGAATATTTAGTATGATGTATCATCTGAGAACTTCCTGGGGTGTTTTTGAACACTTGTAGAACTAATTCTGTTTTCTAACCATTAGTTAGCTCTATCAAAAGAATATCAAGTTGAAGCTAGTTAAGGTGTAGGTAGAATATCTATCAACCAACTTATCTCCATGTAGTTCTATTCAGTTCCATTTGATCCAATATTGTATAATTTACCTTAAAACTAGGAGTCCGATGTGTTCCACACTTTCAGGAATATAAAAGTCTAGCACTGAACCTATTATCAGCTAACAAGTAACAACTCTCTATTTCAAATAGTTGGCATTGCCTACATGGATCATCTATTTATGTTAGGTTATGTTCTTAGTTAAGTTCTACCAGAGATATTGCACGTCCTTTAGGACAACTCATCTCCTTGTGATTTTAGGTGTACTTTGCCTATTTGAAATGATGCTAGGTTGTATTACTTTTATTTCGAAGAGATTTTCGTTGTATATGTATCCACCAAAAGAATAATACAAAGAAAAAAAAATGAGAGAGAAAGAAACAGATCTGCTTCCAAGTCGTGACATAATTTTTTATGAAAGTCCTGACATAATTTTATCGAAAAGAAAAAGAATATTGAGAGGCCCAGGTGGCACTGAGTTTACTCGCCATTCTTCTCTTCTTTAGACAAGCCTGATAAGGAAAGCTGATTCTTAACAATGTGTTGGGCATCAAAGGTTTTCTTATGTTCTCCTTCAAAATGCAACTTTACCACATTATCATAGGTAAGGTACTTATTCATAGTACAATTATTTGGCATATATTGTAGTTACACACGTGCTTGTGTACTTGTTTGCGTTCTATATCTTCTTTTTTGTCTAGCGATTCTACTGAAATGTTGCTATGACTTTCTAGGCTAGGTTAAATATCACAGAACATGGTGCATCTTTTATTTGGAGCATGAAATTGTGTTTCACTCTTGGTCATGTTATGTGTAAAAGGTATTCTGACATTCATATCAGTTAGTTTGCAGGTTTTTACAGAAAATAGAGCAGAGGCAATGAAACTGCCATAACAACGCCGTTCTAAAAGTGGCATGCCATGCTCTCAAGTATAAGTAGAAGAGCTTGTAGACTGCTATCTTGTTGCTATGTGCCTCAACAAAATGTGAAATCTGTCGTGTGTGAAATCGTTTCAGCTACCTAGTGTTCTTTAGTTGAGGCTTCATACTTGCTTCAATTAGAAGGTGGTTCACCTTGAGATGTATCCTTGTCAATTACATAATTATGTATTTTATCCATGGGTTTTTCTCTATTGGGAGATTGTTTTTAAGGAAAAGCACACGATTTGTTGTAACAATTTACGCAAGCTATATTTAAAGAACATGGTCAGTCATTTATGATGGCGCGCTTAATTAATCTCAACATATTCTGACTTTCTCCTTTTCAGCTTAAGTTGATACCGAGCCGGATGGCTTCTGTTATGTCAGTAGCAAAGTTGAGCGTATACAAACGAGCATGTTTTAGATACCCAAATTACTTTCAAGGGTGAAAACATGATTGAAGGACATTTCTTCCTATAGCTCAAAATTTTGAGATTTGGAAGCAATAATATTATCTGTTAAACTTCTTGACATAAGTGACCTTTGAATTCAGTTTTTGGGAATTAGATTTTGAAGAAAAGTTGCATGTTCCAATTACTTTTTGAGAAAATAATGCTTCCTAGTTTATGTTTTTTGTCTGGATTTTACTTTTAGTAAGAAAAACTTGGTTTGATATTTGAAAAAATAAATGCTTTGAGAGAGAGAGATAGCTTATTTTCTTGCTAGTGCAGTAGTAATGATAACTAATAAGAGGAGAGAGATATGAGGGAGAAGGGGAGTATAGAAAGTAAGAATTTCAATTAGGCCTCCAAAAAATTGCAATACATATATGATATGATGTTTGCCTAGACGAAAAGGATAGAGAAATAAATACTCGTTGAAAGACAAAAACGCATATTCGGCCACCGACTGCAGCAAAATAGCTGTCGGTGAGCGAGTTCCAGTTGGTCACCCCATGTGCCGACATCTTCAATTTTGTTATGGTCATAACTCATAACTCATACATACAACACGTTTAAACCATAATAATTAGGCCATATACAAAATTTATAGCAGTAGTATTTATGCATAAATCAAATGGAGAAAAGTACACTCGAGAATGGTGAAAAGAATTACACAAATAATACAACGTAATGAAGATAAAAATAATTCACTTTATACATTTACGTACGTACTCGCTGCTGCAAACTAATGTGGACTCGGATCTATTATTATTATTTATAAAAAATAAAGTAAAAACCACTCGAATCAATCAATGAATTAACCAACATTACAAAAGGAGCTAGCTTAGCACATACTGTAGTAGAGTGAGTAATCCATCAGTTGTTCCTGATTAAGTTGTCATCGAAGTTGTTGGAGTAGTTGTACCGGAAGGTTTGAGGTAGACCCACATTGTTGCCGGATCCGATGAACCTCCGTAGCTCCGACCTTACTTTGTAAAATACGTGCCTCCAGCTGCCCTTGCTGTTGCATCCCAATACGGCTTTCTCTTCTTCATTCATTTCCAGATCGTTGGCAAAGGCGGGCTTCTTGGACATGATCCAGCCCAATCCCCAATCCCACCATTTCCTAATGGAATTGCCAGTGTATTCTCCCATAGAGGACAAGGATTTGGATCGGCGAAATGCCCATGAGGAGGAGGAGGAGGAGGAGTAGAATGAGAGGATGGGTTGTTGTTGACAAGTAGACCTCATCATGCGCATGTTCATCCTTAGAGAGAGAGAAGACAGCCTTTTGCGTACGCCAAGTCCTTCTCCTCTTTCTTCTTCTGTAGGCTGCGACATGGGCAGAGCTTCTTTGCTATGAAAACTTTGAAGAAGAGAGCTCATATTCTCTGTGCAAGTGTAGGTGAAGGAAATCAATTCGTCGGTGAAGAGAAGAACTAAAAACTCAATTCGTCGGTGAAGAGAAGAACTAAAAATTTTGGGCATATAGTATAGGTAATAGGTAATAATAAACAAGGTGAGTGGTCATCACTCATTCACCGTCACCCGCACATTCCTACGTTTCGATCGACAGCCTGTTATATTCTCCTATTGTTTGTGAGACTCTTTTACCCCTCGCTGGCCCCAGGCTGTAAGGGAATAATTGTATATTCACCAAAGCTAGCTATGGGTTGGACCATGAGTATTATTAACGTTATTGTTTCCTCCGTCGAAAAGGATGAAACATTATTCCAAGTCATTTGCCATTCTCGACTCTCACCTTTCACTGCGGTTTAACACTGATCTTTGACACTAATTGTGTTCCATTTCAACTTCCAACACAGAGATTGTCTTACACCCAAAGTCACAGAGTCACTTGACTGCTACATATACCGGATGATCACATTATGGTACATGAATAGAATAACTAAGCTATTTTCCTTTATTAATATCTCTCCTGCTGTTATCGTCTCAAATTGACAGTCTAACAAATTGAAAAATCACCTCACCCAGTTGCCAATAACACCATACTATCTTGTAGCTTACCAGTTACCACTAAGCGCTAGAGCAACTATTAGGTCAAGTTGGCATGCCCTTCACCACATGTTTGCAATAGCAATAGATAATAGGAAACTAACAATCTTAAACCAGCTTCTGCAGTATTCTTACTGGTGATGTCCACTAAAATTTCTTCAATAATTTTAGTTTGTGCCTTGATCTTGCAAGTGATATCAACCAAATAGTTTTACAACATTTTTTTTGTTGTTGAATGTGCCTATTGTGGGATATAAGTAGTCAATAACTACATCTATTCCAAGACCTCGTTATATTTGAACACGCAATCATAAAGCCTTCCTCCAAGAAACTCAACAACCTCTGGGTGCTTCACCTGAAAACACAAGAAAAAAAGGACCGAGAAGCATGAATATTATAATCATCAGGTTAGATATCCCCACCCTCCAACCGGATTTAGTGATAAGGCCCCTCAGAAAGGGAGTTCATCCCTTCTTTGTTCCCTGTAGAAGCCAGAAGGTGAAGACGGCCACGGTTGGGTGGATGGGTTTGGCATGCACATCTATTAATAAGGCATTACCATTCCAATCTTCAGGGAATCACATCTGAATTGAGCATAAAGGTTTGTCTCTATACCACGGCCCTGGCAAAAGAAATCAATGTGGTAGCAAAACAAGAGATTTTATGAAAATTACAATTACTTAAATATGCACTTGAAGAATTTTGCACGTACAAAGTTGAACAGAAATGTTATTCGTTTTTGATATTGTCAAATGCCTATATGAAAGCAGCCCAGAAGAAAGGTAATTTACAAGTTCCAAGGTACCTGAGGAAGAACTACCACCTCAGTCTTAATCCATGTGAAACGATCTGGTTGTTAAGTCAAATCAGTTGCTAGTCAGGTAATAATTATCTTTTTGAAACCTGAAAATACAGGAAAACTATTTGCTACATACACAATACTGCTCCAATCAGAAACTCCAAATTAGGAAGGTAATGAGGGTATGTCAAGTGGAAACCCTTTTGCACTTGCCTAGAGCAAGGATACTTTCACCTGAAAACATATGCATTCACTGAAACACGAGACAGACTGTTGATTTCAGACCGCAGAAACATTAAAAAGTAAAAGAGTGACTGGGTTTTTTGAGAAAAGGTAACTTGTATTATTAACAAAGGAATACTCAGGACGTATTCAAGTAATACTTACAATCGGAGATACAAAAGTGTTGTTGTTTTCCTACAAACTCATTAAGAATTCTAAGATACTAGGGATATCCTCATCTTCATGAGGATATTCATGTTTACACCAAAAATAGAAAAGAGCTAAACAACTCAGCTTCATCTTCTCCATAGAGCAGCTCTTGTTCTCAAAACATCTCTGATTCCTTTCCAGCCAAATAGTCCACCAAATGCAAGCTGGGACAATCTTCCATCTCTCCCTGTGCCCCGACTGATTTCCTTCCCGATTCCAACATGCCAAAGCTTCCTTTATGTTTCCTGACATAGACCAACTGATGCCCCTTATATTGATGAAAATCTGCCAAAGTTTCATTGTGTCCTTACAGTGTAAAAAGAGATTATTTATTGTCTCTGCCTCGCATTCACAAAAAAAAAACATCTAGAGCACAAATGGAGGCCCTTCTTCATATGGTTATCCTGCGTGAGAACAACCCGTTTTGCTAATAGCCAAGTAAAACAAGCCACCTGAAGGGCACTTTAATTTTCCAGATCATTTTTCATGGCCAGTAGCTTGGTTGAGTGTGTGTCCTCTGGGAGTTTCTGTAAGCTCCTCCAACTGAGAATCTCCCATGTTTATCTGGAGCCCATAATAGTTTGTTTTCACTGTTATTGAGTTCCTTGCATCATTCCAGGATATTCAAAAATTCAACCATGCTATTCACCTCCCAATCATTTAAAGGTCTCCTGAACCTTAAGTTCCAACCCTGAGCATCTCTCATTTCTTTGACAGTGGCCACTTTTTGTAGACTTAAGCTGAATAGGTCAAGGAAACTAGCTTTGAGTGAAGCCTGTCCCACCCAAACTTCCTCCCAAAGCAGAGTTTTTCCACCATCTCCTATCTTAATTATGCACTTGTTTATAAGTTTTGGACATAGATTCCTAATTGTCCTCCACACTCCAGTGCCATATGGTTGTGTTGCTATGTTGTTGATCCACCTTGTATTCATTCCATATCTGGCATTAATGGTATCTTTCCACAGCGGTTGTTCTTGTGATGAAAATCTCCACAGCCATTTCATTAGCAACTTGTGGTTTTGTAATTTCAGATTCCTTGTTCCTAGTTCCCCTTTTTTTTGTTGACAAACTTCATCCCACTTGACCAAGTGAACCTTGTGCTTATTAGGATTACAGTTGCCTTGCCAAAGAAAATTTCTTCTAATGCCATCTAATCTCTCTTACACTTGCTGGCATAGGGTACACAGACATCATGTAGGTAGGCAAAGCATCAAGAACACTGTTGATGAGTGTAACTCTGCCACCCAGGGATAAATACTGACTTTTCCAGTTGGCAAGCTTCTTCTCGCATTTCTCTAGTACATTATTCTATATGCCTTTTGATTTGCTCTTATCTCCCAGAGGCATTCCCAAATATATTGTGGGCAGCTCCCATATCTTTCATCCCAAAATATTTGCCTGCCTGTCAATCCTAGGTACCTCATTCACTGGATTGATGAAACTTTTTCCCCAATTGATGTGTAGACTTGAGGTTGCTTCAAACAATTTCAGTATTATTCTTAAAACCTTCAGTTGGCTGATGTCTGCATCACAAAATATTAGAGTGTCATCTGCATATTGGAGATGTGAGATGGCGAAACTGTCTATCCTCCATGTGTTTGTTTGGGCTGTTCTTAGCATATCATTGAGACCCTCCATTGCCCAGATAAAGAGAAAAGGAGATAATGGATCCCCTTGTCTCAGGCCTCTCTCAGATGAGAAGAAACTTGTAGGAGAGTCATTAATCAAAACTGAAAATTTCACTATAGTGGTGCAAGATTTGATCCTGTTTATCCATCTTTCCCCCAAAACCCATGTTTTCCAAAGTCTTCCATAGGAAACCCCAATTTAAGTGGTCATAGGCTTTCTCTATATCCAGCTTACAAAGAATGTTTGGGACCTTGCTAATTTGCCTCACATCTACACATTCGTTGGCAATCACAATAGCATCCATGATCTTCCTACCCTTGATAAATTCCATCAGATGTGTATCTACTAGTTTTGATACGAATTTTTTCAGCCTCTCAGTGAACACTTTTGAGATGATCTTATATATGCTACCTATTAAGCTATGAAGGTGGCATTGACTTTCAAAAATGTACTGAACTGCTGCCACTACTTTGCTTACTATTTCCCAACAATTGGTGAAAAATGTCATGGTGAATCCATCCGGTCCAGGTGCCTTGTCCTGCGCACATGCCATCACACATTCTTTGATCTCAGCCTCACTAAATTGACATTGTATCATTAAATTGTCTTCTTCACTGATAACCGCACCTCATCTATGGTCAGGGGAGGATCTATGAAGGCTCGTGGGGCCCACAAGCTCTGACGGAAACACACACACACACTCTCTCTCTCTCTCTGTATATATATATATATATATATAACATATAAATAACTAACGTGCCACCCAGTGGAACAAAGTACTATGTGGTGCCAGTGGCATAGGATCAAACATTGTCCGCGGAGGTCGCAGGATCGAATCATGCTGGTTGCTTTCTTTTCGTCAACACATCCACTCAATCCCTTTGATTCCTAACTCAAGACCACGCAACATCTGTCCGTATCGTTATCCGTATTTCCAAAAATCAGAAAATGAAAAATAAGTTTCTGAATCACTCCAGAAGGGTTTTATAAGGTCAAGTACGAGTCTGTTTGCTAGCCCTATCCTTCTCGTCAAGAAAAAGGACAATACATGGTGTATGTGCATTGATTATAGAGGTCTCAACCAACTATTCCAGATAAGTACCCAATTCCAAATATTGATGAGCTTCTTGACGAACTGCATGAAGCAACTATTTTTTTGAAGATTGATTTTCATTCTGGTTACCACCAGATACGTGTCGATCCTGCCGACATTCATGAAATTGCTTTTCGTACTCACTCTGGTCATTATGAGTTCACTGTTGTGCCCTTTGGTCTCACTAATGCTCCTTCGACTTTCCAATGTGCTATGAATGATTTGTTCCGATCACACCTACGTAAATTTATTCTTGTATTCTTTGATGACATCTTGGTATACAGTCAGACCATTGAGCAACATATCAATCACTTGGAACTTGCTCTCCAACTTCTGAGAGATAACTATTTCTATGCCAAAACTTCTAAATGCTCATTTGGGCAAATCCACATTTCTTTTTTGGGTCATGTGATTTCAAAAAAAAAAGGGTTGGTGTTGATCGGGATAAAGTTCAAGTTGTCTTGGAGTGGCCAGTACCAATTAATGTGAAGGAGTTACGTGGATTTCTTTGGTTAACAGGTTATTATCGCAGATTAGTGAAGGGTTATGGAATGATGGCTCGACCACTCATGAACTTACCAAGAAAAATGTTTTTCAATGGTCGAACTCAGCTGAGAATACTTCTAAAGCAAGCCCTAACAATTGTTCCAGTACTACAACTTTCAGATTTCACTCAACCATTTGTGGTGCTTCAAAAGGAATAGGGGCTATTCTTCTTCAGGATGACCATCCTATTGCTTATTTTAGTAAGGGGCTTTCTTTTTCCAGTCGTTTGAAGTCAACTTATGACCGCGAATTGCTTGCTCTTGTTTTAGCTTTGCAGAAATGGAAACACTACCTCCTGGGCCATCATTTTTATGTCCAAACAGATCATTGCAGCCTCAAGTATCTTCTTTCCCGGCATATTACTACTAATGAGCAGCAAAGATTATTAATGAAATTGCTTCCCTTCGACTTCACAATTGTTTACAAAGCTGGAAAAGACAATTTGGAAGTTGATTCTCTTTCAAGGAGGCCATTAAATGCTGAATTTCTGGCTCTTGCTATTCCTGTGCCAATGGATTTTTCCAATTGGCAAAATGCTCTCCAAGCAGATACATATACTCATGAGAATTGAGATTATCCAAGCCATTCACCATGATCCTTCCTTACAACCAGATTTTCATCTTGTGGAGAAACTTTATTTCAAGGAAAGGTTGGTCGTTCTGGATCAATCTTCTATTCGACAAAAGCTTTTCTCAGAGTCTCACGACACACCTTCTGCCAAGCATGGAGGATATTTGAAAACCTTGAAGCGCCTTTCCTCCAACTTTTCCTGGCCAAGGATGTAGCATGATGTTAAGATCTTTGTTCAGAACTGTTTGGTTTGTCAACAAGCCAAATTACCAAGCTCTAGCACCTGTTGGACTTCTACAACCCTTACCTATACCTGATAGAATTTGGGAAGATGTCTCACTTGACTTCATTGTAGGACTTCCTAAATCGGGTGGTTCTGATACAATTTTGGTTGTCGTAGATCGTCTCAGGAAGTATTCTCATTTCATCCCACTTTCTCACCCATATACTGCTAAGATTGTTGCTAAGGTTTTCTACAAAGAAATTGTGCGTATTCACGGCATTCCTCGATCAATCCTATCTTATTGGGATGTTATCTTTCTCAGTGCTTTTTGGCAGGAGCTTTTTCGACTTAGCCAGACAAGGCTAAGAATGGGTACATCTTACCATCCACAATCTGATGGACAAGCAGAGGTGGTTAACAGATGCTTGGAATCGTATTTACGATGCTTTGTTATGGAGCAGCCTCGTACATGGAGTCAGTTTCTACCATGGGCAGAGTTTTCTTTTAACACGGGGTTCCACTCATCCACAGAAACTACCCCATTCAAGGTTGTTTATGGTAGGGACCCTCCATCCATTTCTCCTTTTGTTCATGGAGAAACACGCATTGCTGAACTTGAAGAACAAGTTTTGAATCGTGATGCCATGCTGAAAATTCTCAAGGATAACCTTTTAAAGGCTCAAACTCGAATGAAACAACAAGCTAATTCTCATCGTCGAGATGTTACCTTTCAAGTTGGAGATTCTGTCTTTCTACGTGTTTAGCCTTACCGTCAACGTTCTTTGGCTCATCGCAGGTGCAAAAAATTGTCACCTCGATTTTTTGGACCATATAAAATTGTACGATGTGTTGGACCATATAAAATTGCACGATGTAGCTTATGAACTGGAGCTTCCTGCTTCCTCCAAAGTACATCCGATTTTTCAAGTATCTTTGCTCCGTCCAGCTCATGGTCAACAAGTTGTTATACAACCAGCCCCTCCTCCTCTTGCACAATATCTCCTGCCAAGATTCTTGCACATCGATGGGTCAAAGAAGCTGGTTCTTTTTTGGAACTGCTCGTTCACTGGGTTGACCGTCCGCTTGAAGAAGCTAGTTGGGAAAACTATGATCTCATTGCAGATCAGTTTCCTACTTTTCAGGGAGGATGCACTGATACGAATGCTCCTTTAAGGACTTACTCTAGAAGAAATGTGGAGATAATCTTAGTTTATCTGTCTTAAGCTTCTTTGTTTTAAATAGTATAAAATAATAAGCAGTAATTATCTATAGTAGTTATAAGTAGAAGTTATTACCAGCAGCAGTAATCTACAGCAGTAACTGTTTCTATCTCTATCTATTAGGAGTTATCTTTATGTTTATTATAAATACTAGTTTTTTTGACAGTGTATTTTAGGAGAATTCTGCAGAAGAAATAAATTATTATTTCCTTTGAATCTGGAGATTTGTCCAATCCATAATGCAGTGTTTAAGATTCTTGCACTTCATTTAAATAGTAAAGTTTCATTTTCATCTCGTTTCAGTTTAGTTTCTATCAGATTCCCACCAACATAAGCATCATCGCCAGTCCTATGCCTAAAACTTTTTTTGAGTATTGGTAACAAAGTCCTATGCCTAAATCTTACTGCATGCCCTCAATAAATAGCCACTTGCAACCAATATTTTCTTCCATTTGAACTGATTTTAATAATCCTGCTAGTTGCTTTAATTGGTGCAATTGTTGTAGCTCGTCCATAAAAAAAATTCTATTAAAACATGGAACCTAGTGCAACAGCAAGCACCAGTTTAACTTGGGAGGTGGTGATTTAGTAGGGGTATTATCTCAATTCCAATAAAAATGCAATCGCGTAAAGTATGACTTGGTGATCAGAACATATGTGGATAGAACTTATGACGTATATTACTGATGGTATTAAGATATGAAACAAAAGCTGTGGTTACAGTAACAAAGCATTGACAGCAAAAGACTCACCATGCCTTCCAGAATGACAAGGTCAGCATCGCTTGCCAAGTCGGCAAGCTCTTGTGATATTCCCGTAAGATCAATAACCTGTCGTCACAGTGAAGTAAGACTGTCAATTAAGGTGGAGCATCCAGATATATTCATAAGTTCTGGAGATAGTACCATTTTTTGGCAAATGAGTAACTCTACTTTTATTTTGTTAACTTATGATGCATTGAATATTCGAGAACATATAATTTTGGGGATTTAACTAATTGTTATAAATGCTGGCATCAGACTTCAATTTACTTAATAAGAATTTGTGAAAGGGATAGCTGCTCAAATAATAGCTTGAGCGAAGATTAACAAGCTAGAAAGTAGAAATTTTGTGAGGCCAATGCTCGACTCTCGTCAAAAACCTCAATTTAGAGGGGCTATCTAAAGTTTAGAAGTCACAGGATTCCACCCTTTCTAAAAATTTTGAAGTGGAGGTAATGGGTGGGGGGACTGGGGACAGTGCATCATGCAAATGAAGTAGATAAGTGACTGTCCCTTACTGGTAAATCGTTTCCAGAATTCGCAACTAAAAGGTTGGATGTGTCCACACCTACAAGCTTCCCCTGCTCATCTTTTAACTGTTAATAAGCAAAAATACATGTTCATTAAACCTAAAGTAGGTAAAATTGAAAGCATCAAAATTTGAATAACATTTCTACCACCTTAGATATTATCTCTACCAACTCAGGGTAAGTAACATCGTTAATAGAAGGCAAGTCATTAGCTGCCAAAATAACCTGCAAAGACAAAAAAAAATTGCCAATGTCATTACAAGGAGAGCTTAATTGAGTTGTGAGCACTCAAATACAGCCAATGTCTAATCCAATCTGACGCACCTTCATATAATTATCAAGTCTATGAATATGAAAACTGCTAACTTATGATGAAGCTTTATTCATACTTAAAATCTGGTTTATTGAATTTTTAACTATATGGCTATAGCCTCAGAGTTTGTGTCCAGTAACTTCTTAACCTCATTGGATTGAGGGAATAGAAATAAGACAATAATAATAGCCTCAAGGCACCAAATTTCTTTTTTCTTTATAAACATTTGGAATACGAAACACCTATGAGATTATTATAGATAATTGGATACTCTATTACTCTTCGTAGGTAATTGCATTTTTGTGTAGATTCTCTACTTTATGATAAACCACTTGTACGAGGCACTCCCTAAATTTATCAATACAAATTATTACCTTATGAAGAAGAAAAAAAGTACCACAAGTACAATTCAGGCATAAGAGTATCACAGAACACCTATTCACCTAATGTTGTACTGAAAAATAAACCACATCCATTTGACTGAATGCAGCTAAGAAAAGAGCATTAGAAGGGATAAATTAACTCTCTTAGATACAGAAAACAGCATGTTAAAATATTTAGTGTTGTTAACTATAATTAATATCTACAGAACTGAGCATATTAAAGATGCCTGTAAAATGGCAACTTTACTACTATAAAAAAAATGCCTATAAAATGGCATTTTAAATTTGCAATGTAGTCAAAATAGATTATGTAATCTATCTTTTCTTTTTCAGTTTAGTGAACAGTGAACTCTAGAAAATTTCCATTTTATGTGCAAGAGAGAAACAAGACTCCCAAGTAACCTGTGTCCCATGACGAAGTAATTCTCTCGTAAATGGCAGAATGCCCAGAATAATATCTGCACCAGAATTATCCACAAAGATTACAGCCTGTATAGGAGTAAGCAAGTCAGTGAACCAGCATACATCAAACGCATGGGCGGAGCCAGGAATTTCACAAAGGGTGTCCAGAAATAGCACAATAAAAGATCTTTTCAAAAAGTAGAACTAGTGAGATTCAAACACACAAGCACTTCCTCTTTCCAAGGAGGTGAAACCACTGGGCTATAACAGTTTGTTATGTTAAGAGTGTCTAAATTATGTTATTTAATCATTTTTTGTATCATTTTACTTGTATATACGATATTTTTTTCCGACGAATTGGACACCTTGACCACCATGTGGCTACGCCACTGAATTCAAACGCATCGGATATTTGTCATAACCAAGTAAAACATAAAGCCCAGTGGAGAAGATAAGTTTCACATATGGTTAACTACTAGCCTTTTTCCATGATTTTCTGCTCCATTTTGTTATGAAAGAATATTTGTCATAAACAAATAAAAACATAAAGCCCAGTGGAAAAGATAACTTTCACATATGTTTAACTACTAACCTTTTTCCATGATTCTCTGGTCCATTTTGTTATGAAAGTATCCAAGTCATCAATAACCCAAGGTCGAGGAACGAGGTTTTGGCAACTAGCTAAAAAAGAAATGCCATCCCTTGAAAATAGCTCCGCAAGCTTCAAAAAAATATTCATTAAGAACAATTGATTCAACCTTGAAAATGGTCATTTTCTAAATGCTAGTTGTGATTTAAGCAAGATTAAGGGTATCAATCTATCAACTTGGAAAGATTTTTAGCATGTGGAAGAGTCTGAATAGATTCTATTAACTCCGGAAGTAAAACTCTTCAGAGACTTGGATTAAGTATGCATTTGTGTGCATCAACTTCTACTTTTTCAAGGAGTGCATTTTGAAATCAGTTTGAATTATCAGTTTGCGATGGTTTCTTTGGTCCTGTGATTAATTGTTTGATTGTGTAGCTAACAATTAAGTTCTATCTACTATCTAATAAACATACTTGGGAGTTGGGAAAGGTGTTGTCTTAGAGAAAGGATAACAAGAGTGAGATCTAATTCCCTAAAGGTAGGACAAGGATTTGCGACTAGGATAGGAATATACCTAGTTGCCGCATTCAATTAATCCTAAACATTATGCATTCTTGAGAGATCAATTCTATAGGAATAAAGACGATGATCTATTTTTTTGATGACAAGGGAAACCCGCAGCCGCTACCCTTTGGGTGCGCACAGGGTAAAACCTCCGCTCCTATGCAATAGCTCGCAAACCACATAGGAGAGGTAACCCGCACTAGGCAAGCCTGGTGCAACGAGCTCGACCCAGAAGGCAAACCCTTGCTTTCGCTGGCAAGGGGTTTCGAACTTGAGACCTCCAACATCGAAGTCCCAAGCTCAAACCATTGGGCCACCCCGAAGGGTATAAAGATGATGATCTATTTTGAATAGGTGAGTAGTAATTCGGGAGAATCTACGAGTATTAATGATCCGGTAATTAGCAATCATCAATAATTCAGATTAGGAGGAAGTATTTTGATACCTCAATAGGATTGGTGACCCAACCACAACCCTGGAATGCTCATCTCTCTATGTAAATTCTAAAGTGTGAAATCACGTCATAGATTACTTGTTAGCATAAATAATCTAGTTTTAATTTTTGTAGTAGTTTATAATCAAATCAACTTTGGGAAAAAATACTTGTTTAATTAATTAGTAATAGTGAAGTCTAATTGAGTCAATATATTACTAGGCAACCATGTGCGCCTGCGTATGCCTTTGGGAGCAACACAAGTGGTCACCATAATACTCAAAATATTTAGAAAGGTCCCAAAATTGGTTAATGGAAATTGTATTTAGTTTTTTTATCAAGAATAGCATTATATTTAGTTTACATCACTCGGTTCACTGTCATTGCATATGATACAAATATACAACATGGCCAAACTCGTGATGAAGATGAATTGACTCTTTGTGATAGTGGTGAATAAATCAGTGATCACTTGCTCTTGCCACATTCCTATTGAGGTTAAATTACTTTAAAGAGCTTAAAAATGTCTTCTTTCAAGATGAACCCAATGACAAAGCACATGTTATAATAAACACAAATTTAGTTCTTAAATTACGCGCTTTTGAGAAGCTCTTGCCCAATAATTTTTAGTTCTTTTTTTATCCAGACCCTCCCTCGAACACCATGCACAGCAGAAACTCAGTGCACCGAGCTCCCCGCACCACCACCCACGACCATGGTATATGAGTACTCTTGCCATATAATCAAAGGCACAAATCTTATATGCATACATTTCTTTGTTGAGGGAGGAGTCATCGAATAAAGGGCATGGCATACCTCGGCAAGTCATGGCAAGTCAGAGGTACAATTTAATGTGAAGTACATATATATTTCTTTATATATGAGTCATCTATGAAACATTACCTACCTGTGCCGAGCCAAGATCAAATAGGTTTCCTGCAAAAATCCCTTTGACCAAGTTCTCCATACGCTTAGCTTCATCCTCAATAGCATCATTTAGATGTATTACATCCTCAAATAAGGATATAGCCTTTGCATTTTCTTCGTCCTAGTTGATTTACATAAGCCCAACAACAAAAAACAGTCAAATCTTCTACATTTTGGTTCACGTGGGATAACAGGTTAAAAAACAACAAAATGATTTTCAAATGAGCAATGAGTTTATTAATTTGACCTAAAAGCTGATCAGCAAAAATTCTCACAGGAAAATTGGGATTGCTTATTTGAACAATAAGGGATGCTCACACCAACAACAGAGACCAAAGTGTGTGTTTGCATAGTCATGCATGAAGTACTGGTTTATGGACAGAGATACTTTCCTTAAAAAAAATATCTAAATAATGTTTGGTTATAAATTGGAACAATTTTTTGGTTAGTTTTTGAAGATGCGTTTGTGTGTTTGGAAAACTGATTTGACCTCTTTTTCAGTGAATTTTTCTATTCCCACTCACAAAAACTCCAAACTCTTTTTCAAGTGAAATACATGTTCAAACAAAACTTCAACTTCCAGATACCACTTTTCAACTTCAAAATGTCTTTTTTTTTTAAGTTTCAAACGTAGATGATACATGTTTTTTTATGATTGCGATAGATTTCATCTTTATTAAAGTTCTTTATATCTTTGTTGTTCATTGAGAACTTCCAATTCTAAGAAATGATGAATAAGTCAACCTGAGCACTCACCTTAACTTTTTTAAATATATCTCTGAATCCCAATTCCCTAAGCACTCGCTCCCGAAGGCGACAAAGAAGCTAAAAAGTGTACATAGAAGGAAACAGGTTAGCAAGAATAGAGAAAGGACACATAAATGATGGATCCATTTTATATAAAAATGGTTAAGACTTACAATGCCATCAGGCGGCCCTCCGTGACTTTTAGGATCTTTCTTCAAATCCTCGAGTATTTCAGTGTACCTATGAGCATCTTACTATAAATCTCCTTAAATACACAAACAGCATATTCCATAAGGAAGGTTATGCTTTAGTTTGATGAAAAAAGAGACGGAGACATGGATGGGTGAGGGTAGTAAAGAGAAAACAGGAACAAAAATGTTACCTGTGAGCAAACTTTTCGGCTCGAGAAAGAGCATCTGGAACAGTGTCATCGCTCTCGGCCCTCTTCCTGAAGTTAATTTAAAATATTTCCACAAACCAACCAAAAAAAAAAAAAAGTGAAGGAGAGAAGTAAAGAATTGACGAAGCACCTAAAAGAAGGGATGGAATTCATGAAGACGTGGATCCAGGAAAGCTCAGTGGGCGTTGGTTTAGTGGGATTGTTGGAAGGAAACCTGTAAGGGATGGTACATGCCCGGTAATTGCAAGTCATCAGCAACGGAAAAGGCACCAATTCCCCGGAGCTCTCCATTCTCTGCCGCTACCAAATAACCTTCTTTTTTTTTTTTTTTTTTTTTGGTTCAAAGCTACCAAATAACTTACTTTAACATCTCCAACCAACTCTAATAGAGAATGGATTCTGCAGCCCCTCTTTAATTAACTTTCTAGTTCTCGTCATACTCCCAATTTCACTTTTAGATTTTTTATTTTTATTTTTTTTAATTAACACATTATTTTTAATATAAGGTCATTAATTAAATCTCTAATATTTATAATTCTTTTTAAATTTAATATAATATAAAATATTATTTGATATATATTACTTTCATCCCGAATTAATAATATTTCAATTTTTTTTAATTTTCACCATTTTGATATAATTTGATATTATTATTAATTTTCACTATAAAGAATGCACAAAAGTAAAATGATAAAATGGAAATTTTAATTTAAAAATATAATACATAACATAATAATTCAAATACAAGATAACAATACAATACATAACATAATAATTTTATTACAACAATAATTTAGTAATTCGGTAGGTCGTTCCAAATCTAACACTATTCGGAAAAAAATTAGTGTTTGATTTGGAGAATTGTTGTGGTTGTGATTGCAGTTGTGCTTGTTGATTTATGTAATTGTATTTCATTAATGATTTCACTTTTATTTGAACTATCCGTTAAATTGTATACTATGGTCTGTTTGGAAAAAGCCACCTGGAAATTGTAATTGGTGTAATTACCAGACTCATAATTATACAGTCTAGTAATTTCACTAGCATGTTTGATTGCCTCAGTGTAATTACACATGTTCTGTTTGGATGCACAATTGCAATCAGAAAATTATATTAAATTTTAAAAATAAAAATTAATTATTTAAAATTTATACTAGACAAATAAGAAACTTTATAAATGATAATAAATTAAATATTTAATATATATATATATATATATATATATATATATATATATTATTTTTTGAATATATATTAATTAATAAACACATGTTCTTAACTAATATTATGAAAAAATAATTGATTTATATTTTTTAAAATTAATATATTTCAATTGAATTGATCATAAAAACTAAACGTATGAAGTTTCTACGAACATCTGAAATGCATGTTTGATAAAAAGATTAATATATAAATAAAATGTCATAAATTATTAAAATGTTTGACAAAAAGATAATCTATCAAGTCTAATTTAAAAATGACTTGCAATGTAAATTCAGTATTACTAAAACAAATGAAACTGAAAATATAGCAGAAGTTATAAATTCAAAACAAAAAATTTAACATAATACTCTTATCGCAAATTTCAACATAGCATACATAAATATGATTTTTATTTTTATTTTTTAATACATAAGTCTATAACGTTACTTAACAATAAAAGGGTTAAAAATACCCTTAAACTATTCGAAATAACTCATATTTACCCTTAAACTATATTTCGGCTCAAAACTACCCTTCCCATCAAACTATTGGGTCAAAAGTGTTCTTATTAACGGAAGTTGTTAAATGTCATGTGGATGTCACATTGCACGTCAATAGGGTTCCACTGCCACATTGACTAAAAGGAAAAAGGTCAAAATTACCCTTAAACTATTCGAAATAGCTTATATTTACCCTTAAACTATATTTCGGCTCAAAACTATCCTTTCCATCAAACTATTGGGTCAAAAGTGTCTTCTTATTAACAGAAGTTGTTAAATGCCATGTGGATGCCACATTGCACGCCAATAGGATTCCACTGCCACATAGACTAAATCCTTAAATCTTAATTACTTTTTTTCCCCTCATTTCATTATTTTCCAAAAACGATTTCACCTCTGCTCCCTCATTTCGCGGCTAGGGTGTCACAGTTTTCTTCGTCGCTGGGTTTCAAAGTGGATATTCGTGGTTGTAGATTAGTAAATATTTTTTCTTATTTTATTATGTTTACAACCACGAATATCCACTTTGAAAACTCAGCCCCGAAGAAAGCTATGAAACTCTAGCCGCGAAATAAGGGGAAAGTTGTGAAATCCTAACTATCATGCTTTGAAATCGTAAACATAATAAAATATTTTACTAACCCACAACCACAAATATCCACTTTGAAAACCAGCCCCGCAGAAAAGCTATGAAACCCTAGCCGCGAAATGAGGGGAAGGGAAGTCATTTTCCTTCAATTCGATGAAAATGAGTTGATTTGAAAAATATTTTGCAAAACATTTAAGCCAACCAAACATGGAAAAAATTGACTCATAGTCCATTATATTTTTAGCCTAAATATATCCCTCTCATTATAATATTTGCACAAATTTACGCTAAATTTTGACGGTGGAAAAGATGACGAGCTCAAAATTAAATGAGCCCTGCATTTGATTTTCAGTCCATATATATATATATTTCACGTTATATTTTCAACATGATCATGGGTGTGTTTGGTTGGGTTAAATGTTTTCCAAATCAACTCATTTTCCTCAAATTTAAGGAAAATGACTTCCCTTCAAAACTTAAGGAAAACATTTTCCAAAACTCTCTTCCAACTTCAAATTACAATTACTTTTTTGTTGAAAAAATTAATTTATTTTGTCCCTACCCTCAAACCAACCCCCCAACTACCCCCCCCCCCCCAAAAAAATGAGTTTGTTTTTAAAAAATATTTTCAACTTCAAAATTTTATTTTTTCACCCATACACTTGATCCCCCCCAACCCACCCCTACATGCCACCCCAGCCCTAGAAAAAAAAAATTAAATTTGTTTTTAAAAAATATTTTCATCTTCAAAATTTCAATTTTTCACCTCTACCCTCTCACCCCCTACCCCCCACCCCCCAAAAAAATTTAAGTTTGTTTTTAAAAAATATTTTCAATTTCAAAAATTATTTTCTACTCAAGTAAAAATAAAAGATATTTCTCAAAAAAAAAAAATTCATTCATAAATCAAACACTAAAAATCTTTTCCGAAAAATATTTTCTACTCATCAACCAAACATGAGAAAATAAGTCAAAAATCAACTTGTTTTCCAGTAAAACATTTTCCTTCATACCAAACACACCCTATATCCCTCTCATTATACTTTTAGCACAAACATGACGAGCCCAGATTCAAATGAATTTTAAATAGACAATTCCCTTAAGAATCCACCCTTTAACCCATTTTACATCCCACAAAATGATGAGTTTAACAACACTTCTGGTTGATTGCAACTTAAGACTTCAATAGCTGCATCTCTCGATGTATATTAAAAAATATAGCACTTAGCACTAATGACATTTGCACGGAATATATATTGGAAGAAAATAAAATAAGCTTGATATTTAGTCGTTTTGATAAATGCACTGTTCTTCTATATCCTCTCAGTTTCTATTCATTAATTCATTTCCAACCCAGGCTAAGCTTTGACATTGCGTTTGCCTACCCAATGTTTTTCTCGTCATTGCTTGCATTTTAATGGCATTGTTCTTCAATGATTATGAAATATCCATGTTGTTTATTCGTACAGCAGAAAGATGTTGGAGAGATTTCCAACTGCTCTGCGGCCTTCACTTATACAATACTACAAGACAAGACGACCTCGAGGTTGCTTCAAATACAACTTGCTCACAATTCCTCTCTCGAAGCATCATCTCTTTGATACTGAATATAAGATGCATATGTTTTGATTATTGACTCATAAACATCAATACCTTTCAAATACTCATCCTTGTTCAAGAACTGCAGCAAAAGAGAATGCATATTAACCATAGGCCAAAGTCAGGATTTCCACCACATAAAACAAAACTATTTAAACAAGTGAACACAATTTACAAGTCGGATCAAATTTACATCATTTCTACAGTCAAGCAAGAATTTAGCCTCCTCTAAGTGTTTGCTTATATTCACCAAACAACTGATCTGGTAAACAGTAACCATAGCTATAGCATTACACTCTGCTTCCTTTCTTTTGGAGTTCTCTTCTTTTGATTTTCTCATATTAAGAGTATATTTAATAGGTTCAGAAGACTGTGTGTGTATGCACATACAAAACTAACATGTGCCACCAAATAAGCAATATTAAGTAATGCTCACCTCGTTGTGGTCGTGCAGAAGAATGGGAGTGTTTGCCATCGGAGAAAATCCTATTGCTGGCAGGCCTCGCTCCCGAAAATAGCGTGCATCTGTTGATGCAGGAAATATTTCTGGTTTTCCAAGTCTGGCATTAGCTTTGATGATAGCTTCTTCAAACAGTGCCCACCAAATATTGGAACTGTCAACAGCTGTAACAACTGGCCTTCCAAACTTGTCGTTCACACTCACCTTTTGCTTGAACTGTCCAAGAGCAAGGGCATTGTACAGTCTCTTAAATTAGTAGCATATTGCACTTCAAAATATTGTTCAAATAGACTGCTGATACGAAGTCAAACAATAACCAGCGGGAATTCTATCAACTAGTACAACTAAAGATGACTTGGGAGCTATTACTATCCACCTACAGAATTCAAAGTATTAGGTAAAAAAAACCAAATAGAAAAGAAGATACTTACAGAGATCTTAATAAATCTACAAACTGATCTATATCCTCAAAACCTACTTCTTTACACCAAAAGTAGAAAGATATTATACAATTCCATTTAACTTTCTAGATGGAATTGGATTAGCTTCATAACACCTCCTGTTTCTCTCTCCAAACTGTCCACCAGATGCATTAAATATGTGAAAGGTTCTGAGTCTAGGATGATAAAGTTTGTAGATTGTATCAAGAATCTTGGATTAAAGTTGACTGGAAAAGTGCATCAAGATATGCCTACTAGATGGAACTACACTTTTCTTATGCTTGAGAGTGCTATTCCATATCGTTGGGCTTTTTTTGACTTCAAGTTAATTGATGCAGATTTTAAATGTTGTCCTTCATAAATGGATTGGCACAAGGCAAAAACAATAGCCAAATTCCTAAAGCCTTTTGATGAAATCACTACTCTATTTTCAGGAAATCAATATCCAACGGCCAACTTGTTTTTTCATTGTGGAAAATTCACTTGTTGATAATGGAAAAGAAAAATAGTCAACACTCTGATATTAAAGAAATG